ACCGTATTTCATCCAAAGACGAACACGTGGGCGCGGGGTTGCCAGATGGCATTTACAGAGAGGACGCGGTGTCCTTTACCCATGAAATCAGTAAATGTAGTACCTATCTTCACAAACTCAGTAATTATAATTTTTAGTGTGCCCATTGCTAAGTAGCACTTAAAACTGAAGTTAAACCAAACAGATATTATGGTTTCTGAGTATATCTTGTACTCTAGAAGCGATAAATTATCTAGGTTTAAATATTATATACTTTAATAAAAACCAAATATAATGCAACCTGTAGACAATCCATAAAACGTAGAGTTAATTTAAGCATTTTTTTCAAATTGTATTAATGGCAAGAATAATTACATATCTAAATAATTCCGAAACAACTTTACATGATGATTATGCCGTTAAATAATTTCGCTCATTCTGTTAGTAGAACAACTGAAAAATTTTATTGTGAATGCATGTGAAACAAGTGGTGTGCAATGAACTCGTTGTTCTCAATTAAGGCTCCGCGGGGTGTGAAGTCGCCCGTCAGATGGTATGCAGCCTGCAAACGCATCTGGCAACCCGCCAATTACCTCCAAAAGGCCACAAAGGGAACAACTAGGAGGTCGGGGAGATACGTAAGTACGTAACGGGAAATGAGCTGAGAATCCTATGACAAAGCAGTTGTCAAATTAAGCAACATTATGTACCTAATTCTCACATCTTTATGAGGATCAACAGCAAAAAGCAAGCAAGAAAGCCATACAAAAATCGCAAAAATCCAAAAAAGAATCGAGAAAAATGTTTGAACTATTGTACGGCACTTACGACTAAGCAAAAACATCTACACAAAAAGGGTGTAAAAACGCACTCTGTGCAACACATGAAAAGTCAAGAAAAGCATGTAGACATTATTTCACCGATAATTCTGAAAAGGTTTGCCAATCTCTGACTTAAATAATTTGAATTTGATCTCCAGTTACTCAAAAATATTATTTCAATGAATCAAAAAACAAAGCAACGAAAGCAATTTAACAATTTTGCTTTTCCTAGATTTAAATGAACATTAACCGTTAACAACCATCGGTTTCAAAATAAGCCATTAAGAACAGTTTTCAACAAAAGAAGTTTATCATCGAGTCCTTTTCAATTCGCTGCCAACACAAGTATTTAAGCTTTAATTTGGAGTGCGAGGACTCACCCCGGAATGGAGGCGGAGGGCGGCACGGGCGGCGGCGCGTGGGCGTGGGCGTCGAAGGGCGGCGGCGCGAGGGGCGTGGGCGCGGGCGTGGTGGCGCCGCCGCCGCCGGCCGACGCCGCGTGGCACGCTCTCGCTGCTCTTCTCGTCCCGCCATGGGCCACCTTTGAGGCCCTGGGCCGAAGGCGGCGGCGACGACGACAGCAGCCAGCGCCGCTCGCGGAATGGGGGGGGGGGGGGGGGGCGGGGCGTCGGAGCGCTATGGCGTCGGACGCCGTCAGGTCGGGCTTTGGCAATCGGCGAGGTCGCGTCGCCGCCTTTGCAGCGTGCCGTCGCCATCGCCGTCGCCGGCGTCGGTGCCGACCAGCCCCTCCTGGCCCTCCTCGTCCTCGTTGTAGATGACGAAGTAGGCGAACGTCAGGTAGATGACGGACACGATGAAGGACGGGATGGGGATGGCCATGGCGTACACCAGGTTCATGTACACCTGGTGCATGTCCAGCTCCGAGATGACCAGCCCGGGGTCCACTTTGCTGTAGTAGCACGAGAAGTTGGAGCCCACGGAGCCGTACAGGTCGAAGAAGACGCTGCACTCCAGCATGGGCGGGTAGCCGCACCCCTTCACGTTCGGGTAGAGCTTGGCGCCCACGTAGAACCACTCGGAGTCGTTGCCCTGCAGGCCACGCTCCAGCTGCAGCTCCTCCAGCAGGTTGTCGGCGGCCGCCTCTTCCTCCTCCTCCTTGAGGATGTCCTCGGAGAGGTAGTCGTACTCGCGGATGGCGCGCGGCGCGCGCGCGGCCGGCGTGGTCGCGGGGGTGACGGCGCGCGTGGAACGCGGGGTCGCGCCGGCCCGCCGCGAGGTCCCCCACCCCGCACCCGCCCCGTCGTCCGTGGCGTTGTCCCCCTCCTCGCCAGCCTCCTCCTCCCCCCGCGCGGCCGCCCCGGCCGCCGCCAGCGCCAACGCCGTCGGCGCGGGTGAATCCGAAGCCGAGGGCGAGGGCGAAGGCGACGCCGGCAGCGCCGGCGGGGGCACCAGTTTGTAGTTGACGCGCACCTGGGTGCATCGGAAGAGCTCTTTGGTGCAGCCCTCGCGGCACGAGCTCCACGTGCAGTTGGACGCGCCTACCAACGTCTCGGACTCGGTGGTCACGCACCACGCGGGGTGCGTGTCGAACTGCATGAAAATGGTGGTGAAGGCGGGGTCGATCACGAAAGGCACGAGGAAGAGGAAGGCGAAGAGACTGAACGTGCCCAGGAGGATGAAGAAGGCCGTGGTGTAGAACAGCAATTTCTGCTTCAGCGTCTGCGGGATGATCTCCTCCTCCACGTCGGCCATGGTGGTGGTTCGGTGGCCGCGCGCTTAAGAGGACCGGGGCTCGGGTGGCTGCTTGCGTCGGCTGCGCTGCGCAGGCGATGGGGGCGGCGGTGGCAGCGGCGGCGGCGGGGCGCACACTGCGGGCCAAGGGCGTGCAAGTGGATGACGGCCGGTGCGGTGCGGGGGCTAGGGCTGCT